GTATGCCCCTTCATGCTTTGGCCACCATTCCAGGGGACATGCTTCCATGCTGATGACGCTCGTTAAAAAAAATGCGTTAATTAAATTTGAGACTGAACTCCTTGGGGGAGAATTGTGTCTCTCCAGCTCTGTTTTACCCACGTTCTGCCATATATTTCATGTTGTAGCAGTTTCGGATGATAACCAAGCACATGTTCGTTTTAAGAACACTTTCACTGCAGATTTGACAAAATGCAAAGAAGATACCAATGTGAAATGTCTAAAGATAGCTACAGCACTTGACCCAAGGTTTAAGAATCTGAAGTGTCTTCCAAAATCGGAGAGGGACGAGGTTTAGAGCAGGGGTCTCAAACTCAAATGACCACGAGGGCCACATGAGGACTAGTGCATTGAACCGAGGGCCGCATCACTGACACTCCCCTCGCTGCCCCTTCCATTAGGCCCCGCTCCTGCCCCACCTCTTCCCACCCCTTGCCTGCCCCATTCCAACCCCTTCTCTGAAGTCCCCACCCCAACGCTGCCCCCAGGGGGTGCAGAAAGGGTGCAGGGTGCGGCAGGGGGCTCAGGGCAGGGAGTTGGTGGGTGGGGTGCAAAAGGGTGAGGGGTGCGGCAGGTGGCTCAGGGCAGGGAGTGCAGGAGGGGTGTGGGATGCGGCAGGGGGCTCAGGGCATGGGATTGGGGTGCAGGAGGGGTGTGGGATGTGGCAGGGGCTCAGGGCAGGGGGTTGAAGTGCAGGAGGGGTGCGGGATGCAGCAGGGGGTTGGGGTGCAGGAGGGGTGTGGGATGTGGCAGGGGGCCCAGGGCAGGGGGTTAGGGTGCAGGTGGTGTGCAGGGTGCGGTAGGGGGCTCGGCAGGGAGTTGGTGGGTGGGGTGCAAGAGGGTGAGGGGTGCGGCAGGTGGCTCAGGGCAGGGAGTGCAGGAGGGGTGCGGGATGTGGCAGGGGGTTGGGGTGCAGGAGGGATGTGGGATGTGGCAGGGGGCTCAGTGCAGGGGGTTGGGGTGCAGGAGGGGTGTGGGATGTGGCAGGGGGCTCAGGGCAGGGAGTTGGGGTGCAGAAAGGGGTTCAGGGTGCGAGCTCCAGCCCGGCGCCGCTTACCTAGAGCGGCTCTGGGGTGGCAGTGGCGTGCACCGGGGCCAGGGCAGGCCCCCGGCCCTGCGCCGCTCCGCTCCGTTCCAGGAAACAACTGGAACCGTGTCCCTGCAGCCCCTGGGGGAGAAGGGTGGGAGGGGGCTCAGGCTTCCGTGCCTGCGCTGCTCTTGCCGCTCCCCTAGGTACCTCCCACGAAGCTCCCATTGGCGCGGTTCACTGTTCCCGGTCAATGGGAGCTGCGGGGGGCGGTGCCTGGAAGGAGGCAATGCAGGAGCCCTCTGCCTCCTTCCCCCTCCCCCCCCGGCCCAAAGGGGCGTGCTGCCAGCTGCTTCAGAGAGCGGCGCGGGGCTCGCAACACCACAGGGGGCAATCCCACGGGTAGGCAGAGGGGCGTGGAGCTTGGCGGGCCACATGCAAGAGCCCCGCGGGCCGCGTGTTTGAGACCCCTGGTTTAGAGCATGCTTTTAGAAATCTTAAAAGAGCAATACTCCGATGGAGAAACTACAGAATCAACCCTCTGCTGGTGCATCTGACTCAGATGATGAAAATGAACATGGGTCAGTCTGCACTGCTTTGGATAGTTATCGAGCAGAACCCATCATCAGCATGGACGCATGTCCTCTGGAATGGTGGTAAAAGCATGAAGGGACATGAAACTTTAGCACATCTGGTAAATATCTTGTGATGCCAGCTACAACAGTGCCTTGCGAACGCCTTTTCAAACTTCCAGGAGACATTGTGAACAGGAAGTGGGCAACATTATCTCCTGCAAATGTAAACAAACTTGTTTGTCTGAGTGATTGGTTGAACAAGAAATAGGACTGAGTGGACGTATAGGCTCCACAGTTTTACATTGTTCTATTTTTGAATGCAGTTATTTTTTGTACGTAATTCTACATTTGTAAGTTCAACTTTCATGATAAAGAGATTACACTACAGTACTTGTATTAGGTGAATTGAAAAATACTATTTCTTTTGTTTTTTACAGTGCAAATATTTGCAATCAAAAATAAAGTATTCTGTGTTGTAATTGAAATAAATATATTTGAAAATGTAAAAAGCATCCAAAACCATTTAAGTAAATGGTATTATATTATATTATTGTTTAACAGCGCACTTAATCGCATGATTAATTGCAATTAATTTTTTTATCACGTGACAGCCCCATAAATTAGCCTTTTTTCTTAATTTTATCTCCCCTAAAGTCACTTTGGGCTGGTTCCTGCTCTGCTGTGACATCCGGAATGCCCATTCTGTAACATTATGGGGAGCCAAATTCCAGGAGCTCCAGTACGTGGACTAGTCTCCCCACCTCATATCCCATGAATGAAAATCCGAGTGGCATGGTTCTATAAAGGACTTTTACATAAATATTACTTTGTACAAAGTAACAGGCAAAAATGTGTGTTACAATAATAAAGTAATTTAAATATCTGAGCCCTCGTCTGCCATTCTCATCTGAAATGTTTATTTAAAAATCAAAAATTTTTGTAAACTCTCTTCCAAACAGCCTAGTAGGAGTAGCAACAGTTGCCATTTTAGTGGGATTTTATCGGTCTTCAGGGACTCTGCAGAGCGCAAACTGCTCTTGCACAGGAGTGTTTTGTTATCAAGTGACTGGGCTACCTGCAGATATGCCAACTCACCTTTTATTGGAATGTAGTAATATAAGGGGCTGTGTGTATTTACCTACTCTTTAAGGAACAAAAGTTGGGATACTAACTGATAAAAGCTTTATGACTCTAATACAAAACAGGCTGGAATGCATTGAAGTTTCAATCTACTTTGACAAGTGATTGGGAGGGAGCTGGAGGACACATACACTGTGCAGATTTCTTCTGTAGGAAGAAACAGAACTGTTTACAGTGTCACTCTTCAGAGGAGAGTGGCTTGTTGAAGTAAATGAAGTCACCCCCATTAGGGCTCCTAGGATGTTTCAAATATCTGGATTTTTTTAAGCTTTAAACTGGTCTAAACACCAGGAAATTTGTGTATAGTTGGGTTACCATACGTCTGGGTTTCCCCGGACATGTCCATCTTTTGGGTCTTTAAATAGCCGTCCGGGGGGGAATTTGTAAAAAGCTAAAAATGTCCGGGATTTCTCCCGGATGGCTATTTAAAGACCCAAAAGCGGCTGACAGGGCAGCCGTGCCAGCTGAAAGTGGTACTGGGAGCAGTATGGAGCGGCCGTGAGAGGTGGGTGTGGGCGGCCCGGCTCCCCCTGCCTGGGGCTCCCCTCGCCCGCCGGGGGGGCGCGGGCTCCTCCTCTGCAGCACTGCCTGCCGTGGGGCTGGGGCTCTCCCGGGGCTCTGCCCTGCACACGCCCAGCACCCCGGGGGCTGCTCCTGCCTCCCTGGGCTGGCCCCAGATCCCCTCCCCCAGGGGGCTGGGGTCCTGCTGCGGCTTGTGCCCCTCTGCCTCCTCCGCGGGGCTGGCAGCCCCAGGGGGTTGAGGCCGTGCCACGCCTTCTCCAGCTTCCCCCTCCAGCAGCCCCCTGCCGGGGCTGTTCAGCCCTCGGCCCCACCGGGTCCTGCCCTGCCTCATGCAACCCGCCCCTACCGTGCGGCGGCCCAGCCCGTGGGGACTTGGGGAGCCGCAGCAAAGCCTCGCCTGGAGCTGGTGCAGGAGACGAGCCTGGCTCTCAGCCCAGGCTTCGGCATTAGCCGGGAGCGGAGCCACCCCCCGCCAGCTCGGCTCAGCCCAGCCCCACTCTTAAAGGGACAGGGACCCCATCGCGGCTTGGCCCGGCCTGGGGCACGTGGAGGTGTCACCTCACCCCCCGCCTGGGGGGCCCGATGAGGGGGGTGCTCAGCACCATAGCAGTGCAGAGGGGAGGCCAGCGATGCACCTTACTCTCTCCTGCACTGCCAGCCACGGTCTTGCCTCCTTTCACCAGCTCTGTGAGGCACTGTACACCTCAGAGCAGCAAATGGTAGCAGATTCTGCTGTCTCCAAGCAGAGTCTAGCCCTGAGTGTTTATTTCCGCAGCAGTGAGTTTTCGGTTTGATGCATTCACTCCTGATCTCCCTGGTAAAGTGTAACAAAAGCTCTTGGCATTCATTTTCTCAGTGTTTCTGGGAATACCCTTTTCAGTTTCATAGATGGATCTGGGATCTTTCTTTTGCTGTTTCCGGAGAGAACTGTTGACAGGAGGGAGATATGTCCCTGACTAGAAGGCAGGAAGCAAATTTGACTAGACCAGTTGTGACTTCCTTTTTATTTGTTACTATAAAATGTATTACACACAAATAGATTGCTAATGAACTTCCACCTTTGGGTTTCTGGAAAACAACTCACTCTAATACTTGGAAGATGCAGGGACCTTTGGTCTTAAAAAATGAAACATCAGACTCATTAATTTGGGGGAAGTGCAGTGGTCCATTTATGAAATTTCTTAAAAACATGATTCAAAAAATCCTTCTGAGACTGTATTTTAATGCAGAGATCCCAATAGCCTTACTATAGAAATAGAAAGTAAAACAAAGACATGCTTGATCCAGGTCAATTAGAGTGGTGGTTGTCAATGTTTCCAGATTACTGTACCTCCTTCAGGAGGCTGATTTGTCTTGAGTACCCCTCACTTAAAAATTACTTGCTTACAAAATCAGACATAAAAATACAAGTATCACAGCACAGTATTACTGAAAAATTGCTTATTTTCTCATTTTTACCATATAAATTATCAAATAAATCACGACTCCCAGATTGAGAAATGCTGGTATAGTATATAGAGCCGTATAAACAAGTCACTGTCTACGATGATGGTTGCATATGCTTCAATAATTAGTTTGGCAAGGCCTTCTGTAGCAAAGTTACACACATTTTTACATAATATCAGGCAAAGCAGCTTGGATCTCTCACTATTCATGTCTCTGTACTAATTGTGCTCTGCATCATTTCACAAAAACGTTATTTAACTGAGCTTGAAATTTGTCATTATACTGAGATTTCTAAAAATACCCTTCTAGAAAAACTTCCATTTGGCTTCCCAGTAAAGAAAAGGACTTTATATAGCTTGTTTGTTTGAACTTCGAGGCCCATACAGTCCCTGAAATGACACTGCCTTGGTTAGTGTTGTGCCCCATTTCTCACAGTACTCATGATGGGTTGGATTGTCACAGTCCAGCTCAGCCACACAAGGGAGTAAATATTCTCTTTTCCAAGTAGACCCCGCTGATATGGGGATGCCCCTTTAAAGGAGGGCCCTGGGACCGGTATGGACAGGTGAGTCCCTCCAGTGGAGGGAGAGGTGAGAGGTGAGGGTTACCATACGTCCAGATTTTCCCAGACATGTCCGGCTTTTTGGTCCTCAAATCCCCATCCGGGAGGAATTTCCAAAAAGCCGAACATGTCCGGGAAAATAGGGAGGCATGGTAAAGGGACCGCCTCCTCCCCGGGCTCCAACTTTCCCAGCTCCCATCGCTCTCCACCGCGGCAGGGGCCAAAGCAACTTCCCCAGCACAGCAGCAGCCGGGGGGCGAGAGGGAGGAGGGGGAATATGGGGTGCTCAGGGGAGGGGGCGGGGAAGGGGCGGAGTTGGGTGGGGAAGGGGCAGAGTTGGGGCGGGGTCCCGTGGAGTGTCCTCTTTTTGCACTATTGAAATATGGTAACCCTAGTATATAGAAAATATGTGCTTTTTGACTTCAGTCGGAGCTCTTGGGTGCTCAGAATGCCGGAAACTCGAGTCACTTATTTAATGGCCTAAATAAGTATTTAAGAGCCTAACTTTAGCTTCCTGTCTTAGAACAGATTTTAAGCCAACATTTTCAAATTTGTGAAAGCACATGCCACAAGAGTACCAATGTCACCAAGTAGCTTTGTTCCATTAAAAAACTCTTCTTTCCCCATGTTCTGACAAGAATAAGAAGAAATTGTGATCCAAACTTAGTGTGAAGGAGTAGATTTTGGATTTTCAAAAAGTAGGAATCTCCTGCCTGTAGAAGTTGAGAATAAACTGAAGTGAAATGAGTCAAAGATCATGAATTTTACTCAGTGTCTCTAGTCACACCTGTACTGCAGTTGCTCATATCTTCTCTAGTAAAATGTCCTAGAGATACTTTAAAGTACTTTTTTTTTTTACATTACATGAATGTAATAGAAGAACAAAGGAATTGCCAGACTGGATCAAAAATCTAGTCCAGTTTCTGACAATACTCAGCATCAGATTCTTTTTCGGAAGGTGCAATCCCTAGGAATTAGAGACTGGTGAAATCCTGAAGCATGAGGTTTAATATCTCTTCCAAAAGTTATTAGCATTAAGTATGATAGCTCTGAAAAACCTTGTTATTCATGTATATGTCTAATTCCTCTTTGCATCTTGCTAATTTTTAGGCCTAAAAATAAGTAAAATGGGTGCAATTGTATTTTTCTACTCTCATCTGCCTTTTTAAAAGAGATGCTTCGCTCTGGGTGTTAATACCTTCTTAAACAGTGACCTTTCTTTAAAAAAAAAAAATCAAAAACTTAAACCCATGTTTCTTTTGTCAGGGCACGACCACATTCCTCATATTTTCCATATGCCAATCCATATGCCGGTCCTACCGCTCCTCCTCCTCCAGGTGGAAATTCAAGTGGCTCTACAGGGCCTCATACCTCAGGGACAAGAACTGCTTCTGGTAAGGCAAAGACTGCTTTATTTTCCTGTGGCTGTTTCAGAGATTTGGGGGCTGATCCAAAGCACATTGAAATGAATGAACAGACTCCCATGGATTTTAGTGGCCTTTGAAACTGCTCCTCCTGGGCAAAATAAAACCTAACACGTTGCTGGGTAGCTGCTCTCTGTAAAGTTCCTTGAATGTGTGTGAACTTCCTACTGCACATAGATTCTTTCCCAAATATTATTGATTAAATAACCAAAATGACAAATTAGAGAGACAAGGTGGGAGAGGTAATATCTTTTCCTGGGACTGATACAGCTACAGGTAAACAGTATGCATGAAGTGCCAGATGACCTTCCAATTCTGCCACCTCCGGCTCTGTAATGACCATGTTCAGGAATTCAAAATTTGTACATAGAATCATAGAAATGCTGGGCTGGAAGGGACCTCAAGAGGTCATCTAGTCCATCCCGCCCGCATTGAGGCAGGATTAGTATTCCTAGACCATCCCTGACCGGTATTTGTCCAACCTGTTCTTAAAAACCTCCAATGACTGGAATTCTACAACCTCCCTTGGAAGCCTATTTCAGTGCTTAACTATTCTTATAGTCAGAAAGTTTTTCCTAATATCTAACCTGAATCTCCCTTGCTGCAAATCAAACTAAATACTTCTTGGTGGACATGGAGTACAATTAATCCCCATCATCTTTATAACAAGCTATTACATATATCAGGGGTAGGCAACTTATGGCACGCATGCCGAAGGCAGCATGTGAGCTGATTTTCAGTGGCACTCACACTGCCCGGGTCCTGGCCACCAGTCCAGGGGGCTCGGCATTTTAATTTAATTTTAAATGAAGCTTCTTAAACATTTTAAAAACTTTATTCACTTTATATACAACAATAGTTTAGTTATATATTATAGACTTATAGAAAGAGATCTAAAAATGTTAAAATGTATTACTGGCACGCGAAACCTTAAATCAGAGTGAACAAATGAAGACTCGGCACACCACTTCTGAAAGGTTGCCGACCCCTGACATATATGAAGGCTGTTATCGTGTCCCCCCTCAGCCTTCTCTAGACTACGGTAGTTGACTTGATTAAATATAATAAATTTCACATAAAAAAACTGCCCTTAGACCATTAGGATTTGATTGCACTCCTGTGCAATTTTTGTTCTGCCCCTTGTGCATCTGCATTGTGGTATAGTCTTTAATTACATGAACATATGCTATTAATTTTTCTCAGGACCTCTCCCTCAGTCACTGTGGAAGTTGCTGAGTGAATGAAACTGCTGAACAATATTTTTATCCTTGGTATTCAGTGTGTGGTTCCTGACCTTATTCAGAGTACCTCATTAAACCTCCATATTATTGTATGAGATAAAGGTCCACAGGTCTGTCTGGTGGTCTGGATTAGGGCACAGAGATTTTTCCTTTTTAGTGCCCCATCTACCCTACATTTTCAGTAGTCAGAAGAGCTTGTTACAACACTATTGCAGTTTGTAGTGTAGACAGAACCTTAGAAATATTTCTTAACCAGACTAAAACTTCAGACTATGGAACAAAGTTATGATTCCATCTTTGCTACAAATTGGAGCCAGGCTGTAACCAGGTCTCCCTTAACTCCTTTCTCACGTAAATAGGTTTTGTCATTCCAGATCGTCACCTCTCCTTCTTTGTTTCCATGGAGGCAGCAAAGTTGCTCTAGGTGCAACAAGTTTGTCTTTCTCTTGCTCCTGCTTGAGTAGTGGCAGCTGATGGCAGTGCCATAACGGTGTTCTAAGATATTGCTCAACGATTAATATGGGGCCAAGGGTTGATTTATTAATGAACATTTATATTATGGTAGCACCCAAAGACTGCCATCAGGATTGAGGCCCCGTTGGACTTGCGCTCACACAGCATTCAAAACAATTCCTGGTCTGGAGGGTTTGCAATCTAAATGACAGATGTGGAGCTGCCCTGTAGGCTTTCAGTGAGCATCATGTTACCTGCACTAGGACCAGCCTTAATAGCCTGCAGACTTCTTTAGTCCGTTAGGGAGTTTTCCTCTCTTCTATTAGTGTGGATTATTTGTGTGTGTTTTAGTAAACTCTTCTGTCAGAAATCAGCCAATCCAAGTCATCACCTAGAAATCTTTCCCAGGCCAGCTCAGTGTCATGCTCTGTCACACTAATCCTGTGACTACCCTTAACAAGACTCAGTTATCAGTGTGTACGAGTGTAACGAGAGGGGAACCAAATGGAAAGCTGATGGCTGGACTGAAGCTGTTAATGTTTTTGTAATGATTGTCTTTTTCCTTTGCAGGCTTTGGAGGCACAAAAAGGAGATGATGTTCTTGGTTCCCTGGCACGGTTGCAGTTAAATACACTCTTCCTCCCTGCATTTTAGTGCCTTCTTTTTAAAATGTGGAGCTTCAGTTTTTAAAACCTATTGAAATCCTTCTCCAGAGGACTTATGGGCTGGGTGTTGAGTTAGAAATATCTCCACAGCTTAGAGTTTATTTTAATAAGATGGTCCTTGGATTTAGATGTTGTAGATGTTACGCTTTGGATATCTGTTTTGAAAAGAAAATGGAGATAAGATCAGTGAGCAGATACTGCTCTTGGTGGTGAGAAGTTTTTTTTTGATGTGTTCAGACTAAAGTCGGTATGACTGTGTTGGAGAGGAATGAATGAATAAATATAGGCAATGATTTTTTCATAGCCCTAACAGAGAGGTTGGATACTACCATCTTGTTTAGAGATTTAGCAGGTATCAAAACATACCCTATTTTCCTATAATAAAAACAAAGTCCTCCAAGTTTACAAAGGGATATCTTACCAATCTGGCCATGGTGTCTGTCCCAGTCTTCCAAAATAACTAGCTTACCCATGCCCTGGGAGCCAGTTTTTGTCAACCAGTTTCTCAGTCTTTGTGCTCCAGCCTCTGCAAGCCAGTGGGGACCCTGGGACGCCAGCAAACTCAAACACTCAAGCCCAGCTTCTCAAAAGCTATTATTGAAATCAATGGAAGAGAAAGGAGCCTAAATATCTTTGAGGATCTGGACCTCAGTACATAATGAAGCCTGGCATGTAAGGAATTGTTCACCTCGTTTTCTGAAGATCCATTTGGGCTCTCTTTCACTTACTGTAACACCCATACATTCTATAACAGTGAATTCAATTAATCATATATGCAGGCCTTGTCCATAATTGAAGGCCACTTGCGGTCATT